GTTCAGCCCAAGTCATGATATAGATCTTTGGTGGTAGATCCTGTATTTGAGCCCAGCCAACCTGACTTCATAACCCACCATTATATGTATGGTGTGTGTGTTTGTGTGTGGAGGGGGGATGCATGCATGCAGAGACCACAGGAGAACAATTGATGTCCTGCTTTTCTTTTTGAGACATGGTTAACTTTCTGAACCCACAGCTGGGCTTATGTCAAGCAAGCCTCAGCAGTCCTCCTATCTCTACCGTAAATAGCACTGGTGGAGTCTAGAGCCAAGGTTATAAATTTAGACATGGTGCTGGGATAGGAACCAGACCCAGCAAGTATTCTTGCTCACTAATCCATCTATCCAGACCCCATGGCCCACCATATTAACTGTTACATTATGTTGCCCCAGATGGGGGAATAACATGCATGATTCGAACAGTTATTCCTTATGTAGCCTGCTTTCATGTCTGCAGGTCAAACAGACACTGAAGGCCAAGGAACTGTTTAGCTACTATTGTGTGGTGTTTTCATAGTAAACCTGGAGGACTGGCCGGGAACAAATTTGGGTTCTGAATTTGTCAAAATTATGTGAATGAAATTTTTGAGAAATATATTTTCAGGTGTTCTGGGAACTCAATAATGATGTTTACATTCAGCTACATCTCCATTAGTTTAAAATTTTGGTGTTGACTAATATAACCTACTTTGCCTTAGTCCCAGATGATTAGTGCTAAAAGTCTCTAGTTTAGTATCTTATGGACCATAATTCTCACTTTCCAAAAGACTTTGCAGAAATACAAAGCAGCCTTACTTTAAATAGGCCTCAGCTAACTTCATGGATTCTGGACCATAGGGCCATAAGCTTTGTGGAAACTGTAGTCTCTGGTTCTAAGATTACTAAAGTTTCATATTGCAGAGACAGCTCTAATCTGGTAAACGCATGACCCTCGTGAATATATGACCAAGATCATATGACCAAATCATTTGTAAACTTTGTGGCAAGTCAGTTGGCTCATGTCAATAAGTCATATCCACAAGAAGAAAAACTGTTCTCTCTCTCTCTCTCTCTCTCTCTCTCTCTCTCTCTCTCTTCCTCCCCCTTCCTCTCCCCTTCCTCTCTCCCTCTCCATCCCAAGTTCCACCTTCAGACCTTTGTACATGTTGATGTCTCCTCATTAAGAATGCTGTTCATGAACACAAGTGAGTTTGTTGACATTGCAGTGTTTTTCTTTCCTGCATGTTCAGTGGGAGACAGTGTGGTGGATATGAAAGAATACAAACTGTAGATGTATAAGGATTTCTGTTGGTGTAACGGAAGCTCAGGCAGGCAGAAACACATGGACAGAGTGTGGGCATGTGAGAACATGCCACATGTGCTCACAGCATGACTGGTCACATGTGCATCTCTGGAAAGTGGGTCTTTCCTCCAGTTCCACAGTAGTGACAATGACCATGAGAGCACCTGTGAGCAGGTACACAGGGCATCCTCTGCACTTGCTGCTACCACAACAGTACTTCCTCAACTGCCGGAAGTGGCTTGATGAGGTGGCTGCCTGCTTTCCACCCTGGCAGAGTTCATAAGGGGCACAGTCTACTAAGAATGTGCTTTTCTAAGTAGGCAGCTGAAAGGACATCAAATATGAAACTGCTAGTAGAAGCCACCAATAATTCTTGAATGAAAGAAAGCACATGTTACATTTGCTTCCCTGTGAGGTGCTAGGAATTGAACCCAGGGCCTTGGCATGCCTGTTAGTGCTCTTACCACTGAGCCCTAACACTTTCTAAAGATTTTTCAGTAGGTTCAGTAGCTTGGCTGCAGATGAACAAATCCCCAACGGCAGCCCCCTGAGGACCTGGGACAGCAAGTGTGCTCTGCCATTCCCTGCATGTGTGACACATCTGATTCTAGAAATTCCAGGGCATCTGGAAGAAGATTATCATTGCTCTGAGAGAGGAAACAGTTTCCAGAAAAGGAAGACTGACCAGGATCACACACCTCATAGTGTTAGTTCTCATAGCTAGGATTTTGTGTTGCTGAACCTATAAGGCCTTTGTGGTTGGCCATTGACTCCTTCCTGTGTTGCTTCATTCACACTTCTTACACATCCTCTTTTTACAGGGTACCAGAGAATCCTCCAGAAGACAGAATTCCTGCTTTCCAGAGAGACTCACAGCTTAGTAGAGGGGGTCAATAAGTAAATAAAGATTACCTCAAATCAGTGACCTATATAAACTGGCCCCTTTTCAAAATTTTTTGCTATTTGAAAATAACATCTAGCTCAATCCCCAGCGGACTGTTTCATTTGCATGAACTAGGAACCCCAACTACACTGTTATCACCTTCCTTTTTTAGGGGACACCAAGCTGGACAAAGCAAACCCTGGGGTTCCTTTGTCATGACCACTGTTTGCCAGGTGACCATGGTCTGCAGTCACTTCTCTTCCAGCCAGACACCCAGATGGTTTTGTCTTGCAGAGCACCAGACAAAATGATAAATGATAAAGGGGGACAGTGAGCTCTGTAAAAATCTTGCCCATGACTGTGGTACAGTGGAAAGGAGTGATAGCCAAGAAGGACTTCTTGGAGAGGGTACTTCAGCTGTGACTATGCAAGAAAAAAGTGAAGGATAATTGCTCAGACATGGGTGGCCTAATAGCTGCACCAGTTCCTAGTGCATCCAGTATGGCCATAAGTTTGCCCCTCAAGTGACACTCCCCTCGTGTCAAGCAAAGGTACTTACTCTCTTGGCCTTTCATAACCTTTTTCTGGGGGCTCTGCATGTACAAACGCTGTATTCTGTCCTAGCTGCTCAGTCTCCTTGTGTCCTAATAAAATAAGAATCAGAGGGTCCAAAAACCAAAGGTTCAACATCATTTTTGATGGCTTTGTACACTAACCTTTATCTTTTCTACAGACCATTCTTAGGTGTTTTGTGTGTTCTTGTTGTTTCTTTTCTTCTAAAGTTAATTACTGCTTGTGCAATTCATCTCCACCTAGAACTTCTCTCTCTGGCTGTATCTCAAGATTTTTAACCATTAGGAATAATTTTTTACCATTCAGTTCTCCAAAGCCTGAAAATGTGTCAAACCTGTGGGGAGAGCTAAGACACATTTCATGGTGCCAAAATAAGACTTGCCTTAGAGGTTTGGGATTCTGACTTCTCAGTGGTGTTTAACTGTCTTGCCCTGAGAATATGAAAGGAATGGGGGTGGGGGTGTTTTGAGGTCCCCAGGTGTCCAGGAGGTGGGTACCTTCTCCCCCTCCCCCATCCCCTTCCTCCCAGGGAAAGCTGAGTCACGTGGCAGCTAATGCCTCCGATCCCAGGCAACTTTTTGCTCAATAACTGTTTCCCAAATGGCTACTCAGGGGCCTTTCAGAATTCATGAGAGCTGTCAGTTGTTATAGTAACCGGCCCCCTGCTGTCGAGTTGGCCCTGAGATGCCAGTCGAAGCTCTTGGAACAGGCTAACACACAGTCATTAGACAAAAGCGGGAGGGAAGCACAGCTAAAGGTTGCCATTTAAACATGTTCCTTGTTACTTCAAAGACAGCACAGGTTGTGCTGGCTGATACAGTTTTAAACCGAGCTCACTTTCTGAAAGCTTAGGTGTTTGTTCTAGGCTGGTAAGCCATGTTCTTCAGAATTCACTGACTTCCCTCCCAGGGTTACTACTTGGGGTTGCTCAGGTTACCCCTTGGTTGTTGGGACTATTAGTTACTGGCATTTGCTTCTCACTAAAGTGTTGTCAGTTTATGGGTGGGAGTCGCAAGAGTCTGCGATTGTGCGTGAGGGAAAACTGCGGAGATAGCCGGCTGTGCTCCAAAATTCCCGAAAGAGTAAATCTGGCAGAATTCAGAGCGGGGCTAAGGGTTGAGAAAAAGTCTAAATATTTTAGGAAGCTGCAAATTTCAAGTTTTTATGAAAATTTATAAAAACATTTTAACATACTCGTGGTTTCTTCAGATTAGTGTTCGCAGCCACCCAACAGATTCCTGATGTTTGGAGGACAGTCATTGTGGTGACAAAATAGCTTCAACAGAGGGAGACAGGAAGTTCTGAACTGCACAGTCCCTCCCCATTTCAACCTTGTCCCCAAGTTCTACTTTCTCTGAAGGTTGGCTCCCGTGACAAGCACTTTCATCTAACAGTCAGTCTAGTAATAACCAAAATAACTTAAAGCTCATAGGAAAGGAGAAGAAAAACATTAACACTAAAAAGCTAGAGGTGTTGGTTCCTGGAAGGCAGCAGCTGCTTGTGTCTGAGAAGTGAAGCCTGGCTTTACAAATCTGTATGGGAGACAGCAGGGCTCCCGTAGAAGAGAAGGTTATGTACTAGGGTTTCTCTTTCCTGTTCTGTGAACGGAACTTAGAGTAAGAATCATTTCAGTGTGAAATGCTATAGCCCAGGTGGCTTGGGCCAACCCAATTACGATCAACCACCTGAAAGTGTTTGCATTTGTCAGAAAGTGCATTCTTAACATAGACAGCTTAGTGTCAGATGCTAAGGTATTTAAATGTTCAAGAGACTCTTGCCAAATACTAGCCCTTCTGTGTAAAATCCAGAAGTGACAAGGATACATGGGTAAAGACGAAACTCTGGATCTGTCTAATGCAGAGCAATGGGTGGTGGAAGGCAGGCTACACTGGGCACTGGAGACCCTGCAAGTTGTGGAAATTCTTCTGATCTGTCTGTTTGCTGAGCCACTGTGCCAGGTGAAGGGCAGACATCTGAATGAGGTCATGATTGTGACTCCCTGACCTGTGTCACCACTCGAATAATGCCACCTTCTGATACATAAATCATCACTTTGGAGAACAACCCTACCTGTGTATTTTCCTCAGCATCAGACTCACCTAACCCTAGCCATTTTTGCATACCCCGTTGAAAATGTGTAAATAGGCTTGATAGAGGGGTGTCTGTGAGTGTGGAGGGAGGGCATTTGTGTGGAACTCTGGGTGGCCAATTGAAATACTGTCTTCTACACATGTTCTCTTTTGTTTTTTGTCCATTTAGAGGGTGTAACAAAATAAAGTCCAAGGGCTTTCCCAGACGTTCCCGTGAAGTGCCTTCTTCTGGGGAGAGAGGAGAGAAGGGGAGCAGGTGAGGGCGGCCCAGCTTAATAAAGGGGGGTCTCAATGGCCGGGACTGGCTTGCAGAACTTTTTGTTTTGTTGCTCTGGGACAAAAGTCTTCTAGACAGAAAATGCTTACATTCACCTGTTCCACCCCACCCAGTAAATCTGTAAAGACCAGCTGAGCCTCTGTGTAGCTGCTGTCCCTTACAGCAGCTCCAGCTTCTGCTTGCTTTGCTTTTTCTGTGGGCTGGGCCGTGTTTTCTGTTCCTCTTGGTAATACTGTGGGTGCACTATGTTTGCGTGTCTGTATGTATGTTGCATCCATTTTCTTTTTAAAAAATCAGATGTTGCATGTTCAGAGCCTTTGATTTTTTTTTTCAAAAGAGCATAATGCATGTTTAGAGCTTTGTTTTTTTTTTAAAGCATAATCCTTATATATAAAAAATGTCTTAATTTATAAACAAAGGGTTAAAACTAGGAAAGAGAAAATGAACAGATGTGGATATAACATGCTTTTCCATAAAAAAGCAAATGTGCATGAATTCTTAATACTTTGAAAAGTACTAACCTGAAGAGTCTTATAAGAAACAATTAGAAGTTGTAAATATAGTCTTAATGACTGCACTTGAACATCTTGATAATATTTGTATTCCTTATCTTACATAAGCTGTGTAATATTAATAATGTTTTAATAATAAATTATTAAGTCAGGTAATCAACTTAGGTTGTAAGTAGTACATTTGTTCTTTCAGTAAATCAATTTGTAAACTTTACATCTAACCTTAAACATGGAATGGCTTGTCTCCATTAGTTCTCGTATATCAGATTACTGACATGAAATTTCAGTTAGATTCCCACGATAATCAAACAGAGTTCTAATAACACAGGGGGAATTTTGACAGGTTAGTGAGAAAGCTGGTCCATCTTTATCTGTATAATTCCTGCCCTATGCACGACACACTGACACTGGTCATGCCATTAGTCCTTTCTATGATTTTTTTAACCTTTTGAAGTTTCCAATTTCTAGCACAGTTTCAAACCTCCAATAGCTTTTTAAAAAATGGGACCAGAAACTTCCTTTATAGCTTTCAGTTCAAAGAGCTTATCTTAAGAGAGGGGTCCATGGACATCCCATGAACTTCTGTTATACCCAATTCAGGATGACATTTCTCCCATGGACATCACTTGAACAATTTTATACCCAGTCTGTGATAACATATCTTCCATGGACATCACTTGAACAATTTTATACCCAGTCTGTGATAACATATCTTCCATGGACATCACTTGAACAATCTTTAAACCCAGTCCATGATGACATTTCTTCCATGGACATCACTTAAACAGTTTTTATACTCAGCCTATTTTGACACTTCTTCCATGGGCATCAGTTGAACAATTGTTATGCCCAGTCCATGGTGACATGTCTTAGTGAAGTACTTTAAAGAACCAGTATGTCTCATGAACAACACAAAAGTAAATGCCTGTCCAGCTTCTGAGGCTCTCCAACAGGATGCTCAGCCCACTTTTGTGCTCGGCCCTTATTATGGGAGTAGACTTGTTACAGGCACACTGTGCTTCACACAGGAGATTCCTCATGTTTGCAATTTGTCACAAAGAATCTGATAACTTTGCTTAAGACTGAGGGAAATATAAGTCAATTCTGCCTACGTCCATGCTAGAAATCATCTTGAGGAATGACAAGTATTTATTGGCTCTATTTAACTGTGAGTTGTACAGTACAAAATGAATTTTCTACAGTGTGGCTACAAACACAGACCTTGACTCAGAGACATGTGGGCCTCTACCACTTCCTGGCTTTATGACCAAGGATCTCTTTGAGATTCAATTTCCTGATCTAGAAAATGGGTCTATTGAAAACTCTTCCTCTTAGAGTGGCTATGAAGATTAAATTAGGCAGCATATATGGAATGCTTAGTTAACACCTGAGAAGGGGACATTGAGGCTCTTGAGAAGGTAAAAGTGACTTGGCCAGGCAGTCCTGCTGAAGTGGATGAGTTGGGTGGAGCCTCCACTCTAGGCAGCTAGATCTTAAACAGGTCTTTTCTCTCCTGCTCTATGCTGTATTCAGTACTCCACAATGAAGGGCAGGGCCTGATAGAGCTCTGTCCTCAGGGGGCTCCCTTATCTTCCCTAAGGAGTTCCTCTGCCTATATGATTCCTCCTGAGCCTATAGTTACTCACTGCCCTGTGTGTTCTGTATGTTTAAGGTCAGCAACCCACATACTCCTCCAGTGCTCCTCATTGTGTCTACTCACCTTAGCTACCAACCCAGCTCCATACTGTTCAGTTTTCTGGTGCATAGGCTGCCACCTCTCCTAGTCATCTATTGGAGGCTGGAATGCATCAGACAAGCACTCCCACCAGCCTTCATGTCTACTACTTTTGTTTCTTTCTCTCTGTTATCCCCTCCCATGGCCTGCACTTATCCAAAACACAGCCTGGAATTAGGGAGCAAGAAAAGCCTCTAGAGATACTGAAAGAGCAACACTGCATACAGCTGCAGGAGCTGTGACATAAGCCTGCTACCCCTGCTTTCTACAATGCTTTTGTTAGCTGTCCCTCTGTGGACATGAGAAAGGGCATGCCTCTGAGGTCCCAAATCAAGAAAGGTGTGAGCTAAGGATAAATCTGTAAAAAACAGACTCAAGTATTAAAGTTTTCAAAAAAGTTGACTTAAATTTTGAGGAAGTATTTGACATAATTCAAAATAATAAAGTTTTAAAAAATGAAGTTTAAAAGCATATAAACCTTCACAGTTCCATCTATACACCCTACTCCCTACCTCCTCACAAATAGGTGATCATCTTTGCTAATTTATGCAGTATTCAAGAATTTTTTTATTTATCTAAGCAAATAGGAGTATCTCTCTACCCCTTTTCAGTCCAGTACTCCATGTTTTTACTCACGAGCTTAGTTAACTTTGTTTGAGATAACAGTTTTCTGTAAGCATCTATACCTCCCCTGTTTGGGGAAGGGTGCTTTGGTGCTTTTCAAATAGATATGCCATGATTTATTTAAGCAGTCCTCTAAGGCTGTCAGTTTTGTGACAACACAATACTATGTTGAATAGCGCTGTTAATGTGTCATTTTGCACATGGATGAATACAGCTGCAGGATAAATCCGGGGAAGCAGTGACATCACAGAGTGTGTATATGGTGCTTTGGTTAGAGTGCCACACTGCACTCTGCCTCTGACGCGGAGGGATTTCTGTTAGCTGTGTGTGTCTGGATCTGCCCCTCCACTACTGGGCACTCTGGACCTTCTGTTAACTCTGAGGAGATGTAGAAATAGTGTCAGTGTACTCCCAGTGTGTTGCCATTTTTTTTAGAAAGGAAATTGAGCCACTTTTCTCTAAAGTATTTCTTTAAAACAGTGGTTCTCAACCTTTCCAATGCTGCAGCCCTTTAATACAGTTCCTCATGTTGGGGTGACCTCACTCCAAAATTATTTTTAGTGTTACATCATAACTGTGATTTTGCTACTGTTAGGAAGTGTAATGTAAATATCTGATATGCAGGGTATCTGATATGCAACCCGTCTGAAATGGCCATTTGATCCTGAAGAGGTCATGACCCACAGGTTGAGAACCACAGCTTTAGAAAGTCCATTCTGAGACACTTGTTCCAAAGTTCTTGTATGGCAGCTTTAAAAAAAAAAAAAAAAAAAGAATCAATTTGTAATCACTGGTAATATACCTGGATGACAGTCGGGAGTCTTTTGGCAGGGGCTATTCTCAAGTTTTACAAGTACTGCTACAATGGTCAGTTAAAAAAAAAAAAAAAAAAAAAAGCACATGGCATCTGCCTAGATCCTGAAATATTAAGGCTATTAAGAATATTACAGCAAGCCAGACATGGCACTGCACGCCTTTACTCCCAGCACTGGGGAGGTAGAGGCAGGTGGATCTCTGTGATTTCAAGGCCATCCTGGTCTACAGAGTGAGTTCCAAGGCTACCCTCCAAACCATAGTGAGTACCTGTAGCCTTATTCCAGGTGCTCAGAACATCCAGGATAAGGGAGAAAAGGTTCAACAGCTTTTTCAAAGACCCTGACGCCAGGCCTTTCCCAGGTCTCCATTGAGCACTGGAGACAACTGCAAGGGTCCATTCATTGGAACTGGCTGAAATACTGAAAAGAGTATGTGCAGGTTACTGGACATGGCTTGGGAAGTGACCTCCACTGTCCTGTTTCCTGGAAAGTGCCCCGCAGACATCCTCAGGGATCTATACAGATTTCTTGGCAAAATAATGTTGAGCAAGAAAGAATATTATGTCAAGGCCACTTTCTTGTCTGTAGTTTGTTCATTTTCTCTCATTTCTTACAGAAATTCACTACAGGCAGCCTGACTCATCCAATAACATTCTTCCTGTGGATATCAAACTTTGTTGTTGTTGTTGTTGTTGTTGTTGTCTCTTTAACCTATAGCAAGGATGAGTTAGGACATTGTTGCTACCCATATGAAATCCCCAAGATCCAGGAACACCTTCTCTGTATTCCCTTTCCTGCCTATCCACCTTCTGGGTGATCATGTTCTCTTTTTCTCTCCTCTTATTTCCTTCCCTCTTCTACTCCACACCCCATTGTCCAGCAACCCTGATTTGAAAAATGCCACTTTATTATTCCCCCAAAGCACATTATGATTTGTGAGATTTTTGTGTCCCTTTTCATGGCTTGGAAAATATGCCAACCAGAATCATATTTTGGTTTCTGAATCTTTCATGCTGGAAGAGCCCTTCCGGAGACTACACTGTGTAAACTTAGCTGCACAAACTGGATCACTTAACAGGCAGTGAGGAAAACTCAACAGCAAGTGGGTTGTTGTGTATGAAAAAAAATCTCAACTTAGAATTACATTGGGCCGCCTTCCAAGCAAGACCGGGAGTAGCTTCGGCAGTCACTCCTGAGGGAAAGCCCAGCAATGTGCACAGTCTTTCCCTTCTATTGTTGTTTGTCACTTCTGTTTCTGGAAACATTTTGTCCTAATAAATCAATCAGAGTCTT